CAGACAGTATGGCTGTCTGGGGAATTCTGGGAGTTGAAGTCCACCCATCTTAAAGTTGCTGAGGTTGAGGAACTCTGACATATGTGACATGCAGCATGAAAAAATAATTACCCCTCAACAACTGATTGTACCACCTTTATAACAGCAACCAAACACTTTCTGTAACTGGTGTTCAGTCTCTCAGATCATTGTGCTGCAACGCTGACACATTCTTCCACAGCAAACTGTTCCAATCCAGAATATCTGAGGATTTTCTAGCGTGAACTGCTTGTTTCAAGTACAACTAAAACATGTTCATAGGGTTTAGGTCTGGAATTGGTCATTCCAATAAGTTGATTGTTTTCCTTCTTCAATCATTCTCTTTTAGACTTCCTTGTATGTTTGGATCAGCATCTCATTACATGACCCACCTGCACTTCAGCCTTACCCCTCAGGCACACTGACTAATATTCTCCAGTATAATTATTTTATACAAAGCAGAAGTCATACTTCCTTCAATGATGGCGAGCCTATCAGGTCTTGAGGTAGCAAAACAGTCCCAGACCATGACACTACTACCTCCACGCTTGACCCCTGAGATGAGAGTCCTATTATAGAATGTAATATTTGGTTTTTGCCAGATGACACAACGATGTAGTCCCAAAAGGTCTACTTCTGATTCATCTGTCCATAGTATCTTTCCAGAAGTTTGGGGGTGCTGTCCTGTTTTTCTTTTTTCTTTTTGCAAATTTGAGATGAGCATCAGCATTATTACTGAGCAATGGCTTCCACCTTGCAAGTCTTTCATGAATCCCATTTTTACCCAGTGCTTTTCTAAGGATAGAGTTGTGAACAATGACTTTAGTGTTGTTTCCTTCTTAGCTTTTTTACTATCTCTTTTGAGTGGTGTGAAATATGGTTTATTTCTATGTGTCTACTAATGGCTGATTTGTCTGAATGCCAAGCTTCCAGGAATTCCCTAGTGCTTTTGGATTTAGCTTGATCAAATTTTGGATTTAGCTTGGTCAAAAGGAAACAAAAAGACGCAAAAGATGGTAAG